CTGATTTCCCAAGATTTGTTCCTGATTGCCCTGCTTGTAATAAAACAACTTAAAGGGGAACAGAAATCAAGATTCTAATTTTTCCCCACTGGACAACATTGAGATTTCCATTTTGAGATGCTAAAAGAATTAGCATTTTTCCAGTATATATTCGTTAGCACATATAAGTTAGACCTAACATATGATGTAAACACAATTACAATTATTGCGCTCCTATATTTATAGACTTTTTCAAATTAGCTACACTTTTTTCAAAAAACTAATATCTCCGCTCTTAATGAGTGCCTTGTACTTATATTTGAAATCGTGGATTGCATCTTAAACCTACTTGCATGAGTTTTTACACTGTCAATGATAAAAAATTAATCATAACTAAAATGCTATAGTTCAAGGAATAAAGTATTTTTTTTTTTGCCTTTTTGTAAGTGGGAGGTTTTGAATCTAAGATCTCTTACCCTACAATCTCTATCATCTCACTACTCCCCCCCCCCCCAAAACCATCCCCCAACAAGGAACAAAGTAGTTTATTCTGAATAACAAGAACTATAATGGCCTTTTCTGTCAAATTTACTACTGGAACAAGTTTAAAAGCTAAGGATGACTTCCAGGTACAAATATCTGATGACAAGAATGGAAAATTGCTTGCTCATTAGACAATGTATTCTTTGTGATTATTTTCCATAAAGCGAAATTTTCCAAAAGTTGGTTTTAAAAAGCATATTGATATTATATTAATAAGCATATAGATATTTCATGCAAGAAATCATGGTTATAGTTATCATTCACCTTCTACTTATTATCTTACCAAGAATTTAAATTAAGGTTATTATTTACCAGAAATAAATGTTCTTAGAATGTTTGTTGTGAATAAGCCTGTTCATGATATATATATATATATATAAGCCACTTATGGATATAGCATGCTTGCCATATATTACTATAAAATTTCTACATCACATAATGAAATTAGTCCTTTATTATTCAAGTATTACATGAGGAGGTCTAATATCCAGTGTGTTTTGTGTGTTTTCATCATCCTGATTTTAGTGTTATCTAAATTACTTTCTGGGGTTTCAAAAACTTTGGCTTATATCTGATTCATGTTGATTTTCAGTGTATGGATGATAGAAGAATTTGAGTTTTGGAGAAGTAATACGTAAATGGCTACCGCCCATGGGACCTTATTGGGATCAATCATGATGTATCCAGATAAAGCTAACATCCCAAGAGGTGAGAAGTCAAATTCATTTGAATTATGAACACAATGTTGTCATTCCGTTTTTTTTTTTTTTTTTAACAAAAACAGATAGCTGACCTTTCCACTATCGAGTAATATGTTTGGAGCTCTCTCCTGGTATATGCATGCTTACCTATTCGAAGGAGGGAAGGTTATTTTAAGGCAAGTCCAGTGGCGCAGCTGGATTTATGCTTAATACTAAGGAGAAGTTTGAACATTTTCACCAATTATCTGCAAAGGGTGTGCAATTTTGCATTAGGATTTTGAATATTTTCGCTTTTTTATTATTTATTGTCACTCGAGAACACTTTCACTTGTTATCCTCAAAAGGCATGCTGGATTTTTTTTTTTTTTTTATAAAAGGAAAAGCATTGGAAAGAAAATAAAAGGAGAGAGAAAAAAGGAACAAAGAAAATTGGCATTTTGAATAGTTCTTTCCGAAATTTTTTTTATGCTTTATGGAGTAAACTTTATCAGCTACTATGAGTTTAGACTAAGAGGAATATGGACACGTGTTTTTTTTATTGTGCCTATTTTTCTTGTGTGTGTAGGCTGGCTCACCAGTATATATGATGTATTAGATTAAAGAAGAACTATAGTGGTTAAGGATGAGATTTCAGAATTTAAAAGTTCTGGAATCTAATCCTCCTTTCCCATTCCCATCTTTTAAATTCCATTCCTCCCCTGCTAGAAATAATAAAAAAAAAAAAAGAAAGACATAACAAAAATGTGTTCATATGGCTCATTTCATTGGATTTGCAGGCTAATCCAGCAGCCCTAACAGTGAAATTACATGCATGTATCTCATATTTCTGTAATTATTTCTTAAAATGAAATGTCTATATTTTTTATTTTAAAAATATATACTAATTAGTTTTTATTTTTTTGAGTTCGATTAAGTTCGAACTTGAGCTTGAATTCAAGCACAAGTTTTACAGAATTTTACATAAAAAGCTCATCAAATTCGAGTTCGAGTTCAATCTAGATAAAATTAGGTCGAATTCGAACTCGAGTTCGTAACCAAAACTGGACTTGAGCCGTCCCATTTACTACCATTATCACTGTCAGATATGATATGTACTCAAGGGGGCACGTAGAAAGCTTTTTGTTTGAAGAAACGGCTATAAAAAGTTACAGAAAAGAACTTGTACAAATACAGCAGTCAAATTGTACAAATGCATCAGGGAATAAATCCAGAGAATGATAAAATTCTAGCAGAGGGACAGTAAGAGAGTTTGTATCGATGGAAACTTGATAGCCATCGTCACTTAATAATATTCGCACTTAATAATATCGATGGAAACTTGATAGAAGAAATGTGGTAGTAAGTAGCAGCCATGCCATTGGGCATGTAGGCCCTGTTTGGAAGGTGAGTTTTTTAAAAGTTTGTTTAAAATTTTACTGTAACTTACTGTACAAGTTTTTAAATTTTTTTTTAAAATATGTAGATTTTTGAATATTTTGAAATGTATAACTTAAAAACTTTAAAAAAATTTTTGAGACTACTGTAACTAAAGTTTTTAAAAAACTTATAACAAATAAATTTGGTAAAAAATTTGGGCTCCAAACAAGGCTGTGGTAGTAATAATATTCCACTCTTTTGCTCTTATTGGATGATTTCTCCATCTTTGACGTCCTTTGCCTCCTTGGACTTAAATTATTTTTTCTGAAACCACTATCAGTCCATCCTCTAGATAATGAGTGTATGGTTGGGAATATGATTGAGTTAACTTTAGGCCTTCCTTTCTATTATCAACACTTCATCCAAAGCCCCACCACGTTAGGTCACTCTCAGCTGTGTCTTAATCTCTTAAGATTGTTTGACCGAAAATTTTTTTAAAAAAAGTGTTGTTTCATGAAGTAATTAAACTTTTTTGTTTTAATTAGAAATTTTGGAAGAAGAAAAGATTTTTCTCTCGAACATATATGGGGCAATTCTCATGATGTTTAAATATGAAGGAAACTAAACCAAACTTTCAAAGGTGTTACGAAAAGCAGTTCCACAAATTTTTTATTTCTAAGGGAAAAAAAATTAATGTAGAGCAATAGTTTTGAAGAAACAATGGCATACATGACCAAATGCAAAAAGAAAAGAAAAAGCGATGGATCGGCCATGCCATGTTACGTGGGGCACTTTCTTCTGCACGCTTGTGATGAGGATCCCAACATTTACATCAAGCTTCATTCAATCAATCTCCAAACATTTGGGAATTGCATCCCTTATTGGTAACTGAAGAGGCACGGAACTTCTCCTGACCGAACTGACCTGATGAGCTCGGGTTGATGACGAAGAGAGCGCATCCTAAGCCTGAAAGATACACAGGAGAGTGAACTGACAGGGGCCCCGAGGTCGTCCCCGAGGGCACTCCGACGGTCAAATTAGTTTTTCGGTGAGTAAGGTTCACGGGAAGTAAACGGTCGAGAGTGGTTGTCCAGAAATTAGTGAGCGTACCTTGCGCAGTCATTGTATGTTACTACTTATACCTTCTTAGGAGTCCGACCTCCGTACTCCGCGGGACTTGCCCTGGATAGCTCCCTATCCCGCGCTAAGGGGGATTCTCCCCGCCCTCTGCGGGATAGCTCTCAGGAGCCCCACGGAGCCCTAACAGCCGCACGGCCTGGGCTCGTTCCCCATGGGACCGGGGTTCAAACCCAGCTCGGATCGCCCTGGACTGCCACCTGTACAGGTCCGGGACGGGGCCTCTGCAGTAACACTAACATTTCAATAGCGTTAAAATAGGCCAAGAAGCCCCCTTCTTTATGACCACTAAAAAAAATCCAATAACAAAAGAAAATATTAAAATCAACTGAAAAGAAAAAGAAAAGGAATAGTGCAGTGGATATAATAAATGTAACCTAAATTTAAGATTTACAAATAACAAATTAATCTCCTTGCTTAATAGGAATTCAACTCAAGACAATCTCAACCAAAAGAGGGTACAAGATTAGTAAAATATTATTATTATGTTTATGAGTAAAGGGCTGTGTCTCACATTAGTCTGAGAGATGGAGAAAGAGTGGTTAATATGTAAGTAAGGGGCCAAGACCTAACAGCTTAAGCTTTTGAGTCAGAGTTGGGTTCCTGACTTACATATTGGGCTCTTTGGTGGACTCTCTCAAGGTGTTTCTTCCTTAACAAATTGGTATCAGAACTTCAGGTTATGATCCTAAGTACTCATGGGCAAGTGAATTTTTTTCGGAGTTGAACCGGTGAAAATTCTCTTCTTAATGGTGGACCGAAGTGCCAAAGAGTTTGGTTGGTGTTCGACCAGGTGCGCCATGGGTTTGGTAGGGGTCCGGTTGATGTTAGACCAAAGCCAAGGGTTGGCAGGGGTCCAGAATGTAGTTTGGATGTTAAAGAAAAGTGGGTCCATGTTTGGGAGAAGAGGTGACCTTTGTGATAAAGATGGACTTGCATTGAGTATTAAAGTAGGCTCGAAAAAGGGTTTGTAAATTTGGGTTTAATGTGGGGGCTACTCATGAAGGGGAGATTTGTTAGGTTCATGAGTAAAGCGTTGTGTCCCACATTAGTCCGAGAGATGAAGAAAGAGCGGTTAATATGCAAGTAAGGGCTCAAGACCTAAAATTTTGGGTCAGAGTTGGGTTCCTGACTTACATATTTGGCTCTTTGGTAGACTCTCTCGAGGTGTTTCTCCCTATCAGTTAGGATCCAAACGCGGAACAAACAACTATTGAGATATCAAGTGCACAATAATTTAATGAGGAACAAGCTACAAGTATGAAAGATAGACGACACACAATATTTAACGTGGTTCGACTCCACCATTGAGCCTATGTTCACAGAAAGAAATCTGTTCTTTATTATGAGAGGAAAATCCTATATAAGAATACAACTTGAACCCAAGTCCAACTCTTGTATACCATCTCTCATCTCCCAAGAACCCTCTCTTACCCCATGTATAAGGCTACATGATGCCCTCTTGTGTGCCCTTGTGTGTCTCTTTGTAGTATGCCAACCCACCTATTTATAGAGAATATTATTTGATCAAAATACCAAATAATAATAGAAAACCAATTCTATTTCCTAAACTTGTATAGAATAGGAAATAACTTCTAATTCTAAACTAAATAGAATATTCTTTGGTTACTACTTCAAGTAACTAAAATCAATTAGTAAACTAGTTACTTCCATACAAAATAAGAAATCTATCTAAAAGAAATTAAGCCAATTTCCTAATAATTATCATACAGAGAAGAGATTAGTATAAGATTACATCTCCTAAATATGTCAATCTATCCAATCCCTGCAAAATTTTTTTAAAAAAATCAATGCTTTTTTTATTAATACATGCCTTTAGATTGTCCTATCATGTCAACTAAGGTGTTATTTAGTTTAATTGTTTTTCATCTTGTCAATGTTTCCTTAATAATATGGCACAGCAAAACAATTTTACATATTCTACGGGCACGCACATTTACAACCATCAAGGATTTATTTGATACAGAACCAGCTGTTTCCAAGACTACACTTTGACTATGAGTTATTACATCAATCAAAACCACACTATACTATACATTTGCTATAAGAAAAAAAAAAAGACAGAGAGAGAAAGAAGAACGACACAGCATACCAGACTCTTGAGTCCTCTGAAATGAAAATCTTAGGTTCAAGCCTCAAGGTTGGTTTGTTGATTAAAAAACCTTACCGTCCATTGGGATTCAGAATCTCAGAGAAAACACTGTCACACCTTGAAGTTGTCACTGCTTGCCGTGGATGTCCAAGTTGTAATACCACCATCTCAATCTTGCCAGCAGAATCTTGATCGCCTTCTGATTCAGAAATCACATCTGTATCATCATCGGTCATATTTTGCACATCTCCTCCATGCATATGCAAGGGAAATGGATCAGGTCGACCACCCTCATTTTCCGCTGCCTCCTGGACTTGCAATGCAAATTCAAGGCCACCAACTACATCATCCATTCCCGGTCGTTGAATCCCTTGATCTTTCAAACAATTAATGGCCGTTTCAGCAAAAATCCTCAAACATTGGGGTGCAATCTCGCCCTTCACATCTGGGTCCACAACTCGATGGATAATCCCTTTTTTGTAACACTTCTTGGCCCATTCAGCCAAATTCACCTGCTCCTGGGGTAAGTCTAGAATAATAGCTGCCCGACCACACAAAACTTCAAGCAAAACCACCCCGAATGAGTACACATCAGACTTGTCCGTCAATTGCTGTCTCGTGTAGTACTCCGGATCTATGTAGCCGAAACTCCCCTTGACCTGCGTGCTGATATGGCTGTAAATCCCACTCGGACCAAGTTTGGATAATCCGAAATCCGAAACTTTGGCCACCCATGTCTCGTCCAATAATATGTTGGTTGACTTGACATCGCGGTGAATGATAGTGTGCTTGGTGCCCGTGTGGAGATAATCCAACCCTTTGGCGGCACCAATGCAGATTTGAAGGCGTTTTTTCCATGGGAGCGGTGGATTGTCTGTTCTATAGAGATGATCGCGGAGGGTTCCATTAGCCATATAATCATAAACCAAGATCATCTCGCCCTTTTCATCACAGTAGCCTATCAAGGAAACCAAATGAAGATGTCTTAACTTTGATAGCATCTCGATCTCGGTTTGGAATTCACGGGCACCCTGTCTTGATGAAGGATTTAATCGCTTTATCGCTACCGTGGTTAGATTGTTGTCTATGTACCCTTTGTACACGTTTCCAAATCCTCCAGTCCCAATCACAAACTTGGCATCAAAGTTGGCTGAAGCGGATCCAATCTCCTCCAACAAAAATCTTCTAAGCGACGATGAACCCGATGCTCCAGTCTTTGTTGACCTTGGCGGGGTTGAAAGTGATGACTTTGAAGCACTTTTCTGGTCCACGTCTTTTACCCGTCTCTTCCATCGCCACCGGAAAATCAAGAAACCGAGGATTAAAACCACAGAAACCCCTCCTCCAATGGCAGCAAACAGTACCCGAGGTTTTCCAGGACTCCCCTTAATCGGTGACTTCTTGTTTGATGCCAGAGAATTGGGATCCCTCGATAGATTAGGATTGGTCCCGCCAAGACTGCCGTCGGAGGTAATCAATTTGAACAATTCTAAGCCATTCAAGATTGCATCAGCATATTTTGGTTTGACGTCAAGATTTGGGTGCAGAGCAAGAAACAAGCCTTGCTTGGTCTGGCGACCGTCTGGTGGGTTTGGAACGAACACGGGGTAGTCTCTGAGAACTGGGATTCCTGGGCCGCCTGCCCAACGTATAACATCAGCAAATGGCTCAGCTGTTATGTTACTAATAAATATTATGAACACCCGGTCGTAATCCGCTGCAATCAAATCAGGAATAATCTCACAAAAATGCAACCTCATGAGATAATAAAACCCAGAATCAACAGGAAACATCCAGCTCAAGTTGAAGCTGGTGCTGAACTTTCCCATCGCCCTGGCAGTAGCATAAACAACTGGGGGCGCGGTGTAATTTGGGGTCTGTGGAGTGTACTTGATGTCAATTTCATTATTGCTCAGTGGATTTCCTTTATCTGTGCCCCAGAGGAAATCGTAATCTGGAGCCCATCCCCGGAACATCCCACTATCTTCCACCACAGAAACATCATTGCCTCCTACGTTGAGCCTGTAAAGAATTTCTAAAGCAGTCTTATCCTGATCACACTCGAACTGGCCATCCTTGCCCATGTAGAGATCTTCCGGGGTTGAAACAACTTCAATTCCATTAACGAAAGCGTAGGAATTCGAAGAGGGCAAAAAGGTAACGTTGAGGAACTGATTCATATCCTCAATATTGATGATATATTCTTTAACAACCGAATTGATTATATGTTCTTCAAAAACAAAGGGTGGCGAGAATCCCTTGCTAGAAACTGTGAGATATGCGCTAAAGTTACTGAGAAGGGTGTAGTTATTAGCCGTGACATTGAAGAAAGACTCAGTTGTGTTGAGACCGCCGGTGTACGAGGTAGGGTAGAAGTAAAGGCGGAGGAACTTTTTGCCTAGGCTGACAGGGAAGGTGTAAGAGAATTGAGAACGGATGATTCGGGCACTTGAAAAAGGGACTCCGCTGACTGAGGGGTCTTGCTCAGTGGCTGTGACTGCTGATGAAATATTTGCCATGTCGTTAGGTGAGAATTTTGAGCCCACGTCGCCGCCCCATTTCCGGCCATCAACTGAGGTTGAAATCGAGGATGAGCCGCAGTTGATCAGGATATAATCTGTGGGGGTGTAAGGCGGAGTACTGCCAGTGGAAGCGATGACAAACAACAAATTGAAGAGAAAGCAGAGGTATACAAGAAAAAGGAACATTGGAGCAAAGACTTGCAAGGAAAAATAAACAATATATTTTTTCGGCTCAAATGCTAACTCACTTTTCTGATGGAAAAATTGGTCGTTATTCCATTGAAGCGTAGGATTGGGATTTCGCCATTTGTCTTTAAGAAATGTTGTGGAATTTAAAATCCCCAATTCAGGTGAAGAAGGAAACGTTAGTAGAATTAACATCATGACGTGAGGATGGCAGTGTCAAAATGAACTCTTTAGCGTGGACTTGTTAAGTTGGAAAAGTCAAGTCATTGGGCAGATTTAATGCGTCGAGTCATTAGGCCAATAAAATGCACGCGTATAGATTTATTCTCCCAAATAAAGCTTACGTAAGCAGCTACACCATGGCAAATAATTAATTGCACTTCTCTCTTTTTAATTACAAGCAGAAGCCATCAAGATTTGCATTTAATCGGGGTTTTCTTGATCTAAGCTTACATGATTAATCGATGGTTATGTAACCTAGAATTATGGAGAAAAATTGGCTTAGAAGTATGATGCATTCTCTTGGTTATTTTATTTTATTTTTCAGAAAATGACCCAAATTTTCACTTTTCAAACCATGCAAAACTTGCTTTAAATTTTGAAAACATACCAATATCGTTCCATAACCCAATTTCGACCAAGTTTCTGGCAAAATGGAAAAATGGAAAAACATGCGCATTATATCAAATTTTGACCAAATTTCAACCACATGCGCATTATATCAGGTGCAAAATGGGAAAACGAAATTCTTCCCAATCAAAACTAAAAGAGAAAATGATGAATTTCATCCCCTTATATTTTTGCAAAATATTTTTTTCCATGGCACATATTTAAAGCTTGTAAAATCTATACCTTACAAGTTGAAGATGTACTACTAATTTCCTCCAAAAAAATGAGTTTTTATCAACTTTTAGGTAAAGGGTAGCATACCCTAGCTTAGGGTTGCAAACGAATCAAACCGCTCGTGAGTTGCTCGAGTTAAAACTCGACTCGAGTTTGGTCGATATCGAACTCAACTCGAGCTTGAGGTGACCAAGTCAAACTCAAGTTCAAAGATACATAGTTCATTAACTCGCGAGTCGACTCGATTATATATATATTTATATTAATAGTAAAATTACATATATATTCATAATATTTTATTATTTGTTAAAAAATTATTATTTTATTCATTTTTTAAAAAACAAAATAATTTTATTTTTTTAACCTTGAGTTCAAGCTCGAGCTGTTACATTGAGAGTTCGTCGAAGTCAAACTCGAACGAGTTTGATAAAACTAAGTCAAGGTTCGACTCAATTAGACCAAAATTCAATTCGATTCAACTTGTTTGCAACTCTAACCTAGCTACATTACAATATTTCAAGGCTGTCAATCAACTAAATGACCAAAACAAAAGCAAATGGCAAATTAAGCCTCGTTGCTTCGCTGACGGATACATGTTTCATTATTTGAAGGAAATAGTAATGCATAGCCACCAAGCCAGAAAAATTCGACTGCAAATTGTTGATGTAGTAATTTATAAAAGCTAGATAAAATTCTTCTATGTTCCAATGATGCTTAACTTTTTTTTTTTGGCTTGTTCTACTTTTATACAGCTCTCATCTGTTGTGTTATCAACAGATTCATAGACGAATTTGTCCTGTTCCATGGGCTTGATTATATTTTCTTCAAATAATCAGCATGCAATAACCAGTGAAGTAACGAGATTCTAGTGCGACATCTACTTTTATCTTCGTCATTTGGTTGACTAATAGGCCTTGAGATGATTTACATTTGGTTGGGGTATGGAAGTGTGTAGAGAGATGGTCAGGCTGAATGTTCTCGCGTGTAAAGTTGATTTAGATTTGGTTTTGGGATGAAATTGGTACATGTTCAAAATGACAGGGATGTTTTTGCATTCTTTTAAATGTGATGGATGAAAGAAAATATTTTCAAATATGTGAGGGACAAAGTTGGTCATTTCCTCATTTAATTTTAGAGGGGAAGAGTTTTACCTTTCGATTTTGCCCCTAATATATTAAGCGCGTGATTGGGGTATGTAATTCTTAGCCGGAGAGTTGATTGAATTTGAATTATGGGACTAAAGTGGTATATTTCCAAAATATAAGGCATTATTTTATGAATTAATTTTTTATACACTGACAGTGTATACACTTTCACCATTAGATGTATGACATGTAATTCGAATCTGAATTTAAAACTCAATATGTGTGTATATCTAATCATGATAGTATATACATCGTCAGTATATAAAAGATTTACTCTTATTTTATACGATTGTCAGTGTGAGGCACGAAAAAATCTTTTCTGAAAAAATAAGGGACTAATTGGGTCTTTTTTTTTTTTTTTTGGGCGTAGGTGCTTGGTACAAAAATTTTTTTTACCATAGCTATGAGAATGAAATAGGAGGATTTACATTTAATTGATCAGAACTTGATTTTGGGATGCAGAGATGCTGAGAAAATCCATGATAATTTAGCAAGAAGGAAGGAATAAGGACATAGAAGTTTTCTCCTTTCTAGTGGTGGGGTTAAATTCTTATCATTTCTTGTCATCCTCGAGCAAGTCTTTTGAGCAACGTTACTTTTTTTAAATTCAAATGATCGTCATTTTTAGAGGACAATTGTAAGTTATCTTTGAAATTATAATGAATAAAATTATCTTTCTCTATCGGAAAAAAAATATCAAATTATACTGTAAACATTAAAAATTATTATGTATATCTTGGTTCAGGTGCTCATTTCCCTTTATCATACAATGTAAAGGATTGGTCTGTCCTTTGGAACATCCAATAAAATTGGAACGATACAGAGAAGATTTGCAAAGACCATGCAAGTGTGACGCACAAAAATGAGAAAAAAAGGATGGTCTACTTTTTTAAAAAAAGTATGGTTAGGTATTGAAATACAACTCAAAAAAAGATTGGTGGATAAAATCAAAAGATGCGTGAATATTGGTCTCCAAAAGAATTCAAAAAGCTCTTCAACCCTACCCCCAAAAAACAAAACTAAAAATAATCCCTTAATGGCAGAAGAAATACAACACAGAGTTGATTTACAAGTTACAACTCATCTGATCTACAAGTTACAACTCATGGAATTATGTACTTTTGATTTTAAAACTTCAATCTTAATTACATGACTACTTCACAAAAGACTCATTTGCTAGAAAAAAAAAATACTATGCAAGCTAGAGTGGTGGCCTGTGGGTATTAGCAGTGAAATTACACAAAATAAAGTAAGAGTGACATCTTTTGTTTTCTCTTTTCGACAAGTGTTTGCAGCAAAGTTAGTGAGCTAGGAAAAGGGACAAAAAAAAAAGTAATGAAGTGAGATAAAAGCGGACGAATAAAGTGGGGCTTCTAGTATAAGTGTTTTGAAAAGGGAAAGTGTCTCAATATAAGAAAGCAATAGACATGAGTGTCTGTAGTAAAATGATAAATCGTAAGAAAAAAAATTAAAAAAAAATGGGTTATTCAATTTATTTTCTATATTTAATAATCAACTTAGCTAACGGTTGGTCAATAAGCACTCGTCACAAACATTCAAATGTTAGTTTTCTTTTTTTGAAAAAATATAGTGAATTTAGGAAGTGTTTAAATACATGGGGCTCAATAATTATGATTGAATTTATTCATAGGGTAATTTAAGTGTAATTTAGTTGTACTAAAAAGTTCTCCATTAAAAAAATCTTTTAATAATTATAATTTTTTTTAATGGGAATGGATATTAGTTAATGCACTTGATTTATACCAAAGATTACAATGTGAAAGCACGTACTTACGCTCCTTGTCCTTCTTGAATTTAAACACTTTCCTTATTTAATATCAATTTACTAAATAGCCTTACTTAGGTTCATATTAATTTACTAATGTGTGTGTATTTGTGAAAGTATATTAGGATGCACTTTAGTGTGTTTGTATGTGTAAAAATAGTGTGTTTGAAATGCATATTATTTATCCCTTATTTACACACATTGATTTGCTTGTATCATCTACACATTTTTCAATCACCTTTCTATCTCACATACATCACATCAAAAAAATGCTACAGTATTTTTTCACAAAATTATCTCAAATAATTTACTATCCAAACACACTAATGTATTTCAAATGAGTTTAAGAAGTGAGTGTGTTTTTGTATCGTGAGTGTTTTAGTGCATGAAAATATGTCTATCTATATAAAAATGTGTTTATGTGTGTGAAATTTTTTTGTTGTATGTGAAAATATATTTGAGAGAGTTGATGTATCAAAATCTATTAAATTAATATATTGGCTCATATTTGGGTCATGGGTTTGTGATGACCCAACCCAAAATTAATCCAATTTTAAGTTTGGCGGCATGGGTATAACCCATTTAAATGAAAACCTAATATTAACCTGCCCAATTGTCAGGTATAATTTTCATATAGGAGGTTTCTAATGAGTGCCTATACACCTAAATCATACCTTATTAGCTACATAAATTCACACATTAACAATTATTATCCTATCTTACATTTATATATTTTTTCTAATTAATATTACTTTTTTCAAATTATAAACACTTGAAATCGATTGGACATTCGTTTGACAGACTGTTTCATATACAACCATTCTACTCTGAATAACTAACCTGTGATCATTAAAAGTTGAACCGAAATTCAAATTAAATAAAATATTTTTATTGATTAAATGCTAGTCAAATTGATTGCAAATTCAAGCATCGCAATAGGCAGACCTTTCTGGGATCTACAGCTTCTTTTATGTTGGATCATGCACAATGCAGCAGCATTGAAGACCACTAAATCCAGGAACGCATAAAACATTATTGATGTGTAAGTCCACGTAGCCACACTGCTCGATGCAATCAAGTCTTGTGGTGCATGTACCGACAAACTTGCTATCGCTATACGGTCCATCATCGTCGTCATTAATCTCTGCAACAATATATATATATATACATATATATACCAATTTACCGTTGAATTATTACTTAATTCGATACCCAATCCAAAAACA